TTGCTGCATTGTCTGTATAGAGAAGAGAAATGATCACTGAAATACAACCACTTTAATTTAGTAGCAGTGTATCATTTTAAAAAATGACCTGCTACTTCAATATAATTCATGTACTAAGTGTACCTGTATCTTTTGACCTTGGCCCTTTGTGTATGCAACCATTTGGAGCATTCTTGATGTCATTTTCTTAGCAAGTCCCACTAGAGGGTTACCTTCTTCTTCAAATTCATCCACAACATCCTGTAGCTGTCTTGTTGCTCCCTAAATAAGAAATATTGAGATAATTTTTCAGTTACTAAACAACTAAATACTGACAATTAATGATCTATTCAATGAAGTATCAAGAGGGAGACTGTATTCCACACTTTGTTTCCAAGGATGAGACAACTTTGGAGAATTACCAGTACTGTCATAGCTACAGCAATGAAACAAAACTTGTAAAATATTATTATAATTATGCTTCAAACACAGCATAAGAACATGTATTATGTGCATATGCCAGATTTTTGAGCAACTTAAAATCTACTGACAAGAATCTTAACACTATTCCCAAATCCTGTGAGAACCTTTCATGCATGAGGTGGATCTATATTGCATATTTTACTTGATATGTGAGTCATCTAGTACAAAGGGAGGTGGAGGTGGAGGGTAGTTTGGAGGCTCCAGTAAGTCATCAGTTGAGTAGTACTGCTGCTGGCCATGTCTCTCTCTTCTATCACTACCATCACCTCTTCCTCTTGATCTTGATGTCTTCTGCGCTGATGGCGTCGTCCGTGTTGTTTCATAACCTTGCAAGAGATCCCTGAACAAACTCAGAGCTAGGCTGACATCAATCTCAGACTCATTCTCATCAATGAAGACAATCCCATAATGAAAGCTCTGAGCTTTTGCTGTCCATTGTCTTCTCAAGTGACTGAAATGATCCAGCTTCATTGAGCTATGATCATCTACACATACATTAAAATGGAAATGAATCAAGTATATATACAGTTATACCTGATAGTGATCGTGCTGCTCCTATTGCGTGTGGTAATACTCTTACTAAAAATCCCATGTTCCTTTTACACTTCATTACTAGTGGATCGCTGCTCTTTGTTTTCTTCATTACACAATCAAGTTCAGAACTAAAAGACAATTTATTAGTCAGTATATCATCATCATCATCATCATTATTGTTATTATTTTTTCTTACTTGACTTTGTCCAACTGGCCAGTAGCAAATTCTTTCTTTTCCTTAAATTGTTCAAGTAAGTGTTCCTTAGCCATTCCATCAGTTCTTGATGCTTGCAACGAGACACTAACCAAACGATCAAGTGGTCCAGCTACATTAGCTGTCAGGTCATCAATATAAGCAGTTAGTAAGTGCATCTAACAATGAATGCAAGAATAATAATGACAGAATTAGTTGATGGGTAAGTCTCACTTTGGCTGCCCAATCTCTTTTTAGTATTTCAGCTTTCTCCACTGCAAGTTGATGTCTTTCTTCATCTACTTCCTTTAAGCTAGCTATTTCATGTGCATATTGTATCAGTTCTGATGACAACTCTTGTATCTCTTGGGCTGTATCAAGCACTGACTTAACAAGACTCTCATCATCACACCTATAATTACAACTATTTAATTATTTAATTAATATCTTTATTTACCCTTCAACTGCATCTTTGGCCACAGTTAGCATTGAGTCTGCTAGTCTTTTAATTGATTCTGCTTGCTCCTTGAGTAGCTCTGCATCATTTGATTTGGCTGCAAGGAGTAAAGCATCAGCTGGCCCACTCATACCAAAAGTTATATCATCAACATTCTTCATTAGTGCACTAGCCTGATAAGTGGAGATAGAAATATAATATTTATTATAATTTATTATTAAAAGCTTACAGCAGTAGCCCATTGGTGTGACAAGAGGTATAGCTTCTCATCTTCTGGTTCATCTTCAGCTACTTGACCTGCAGCGCTTATAAATTGTGGTGTCACTGACTCAATGCCCTTCACATGTTCTTGAACAGATTCTATTTGTTTCTATAATAATGCAATAGTAACATTCAAGGGGTCTTGGCACTATATTTACCTGTACAGCGGGGTCCTGTGCACTGTCTAAATTGGTAGTACTGCCAATGGAGTCCTCAACTAGTGCAGCTTTGATGGTTGTTGAGGCAACCCCAACCATTCTTTGTGTCTGTGACCCAATATGAGAAATCTACAGAAAAATATTTAAATGGTTATGCATCACTTTCATGCACTAGCTATCTCATACTTCTTTGTTTAATCCTCTTCTATTCTTAGCAGAAGTCACCAATCTTCTAGCAGACTTTGACCAGGGCATGTTAGCTGCTTGTGAAGCCTCCAGTAGTTTATTTAAATGTCCAGTCCACTCTTGCCCCAGCTCTTGTAAGCTCTCTCCTTCTTCTTCCTCCTCTTCTTCTTCCATATTTAATACTTCTTCTGCTTTTTTAATGATTCGAGGAGTCAGATAAGTTATATTAGCTGATTCTTTGTTCAGCACTCTATACAAGTATGAAAAGGATGAGTTTTAAATAATTTATATATATTTACCGTGCAACTTCTTGGCTTCTTGAATTGCTTGCAGCTGTTTCTGCTAGTTTGCTCAGTTCCTGTGCTTTCATTGCAAACTCTGCTGCTTTCTCTTGAAGTTGTTTTTGATTTCCTTCAGTTGCTGCTTGAACCATATCCTCCAGTGGCTTTGTATAAATATGGCAAAGCTCTGTATTCTCTAATAGTTACATGCTAGTAAAAATAAGACTAATATATACATGATACCTTCAATGAATGGAGTTTGACTCTCCTGCCATCCAAAAGAAGAAGCCAAATGAGATAGATTGTATCTATCTCCAGCTCCTCCAAGTGAGTGTGGATAAGTAATAGGTGGCTGGGTCGGTACATGAGGAGTGCTAGTTGTCCATTTCTTGGTTATCATTTCATCATCATGTATTGAAGGATCAGTTGGACCAAACAGTGAAGAAGGAGGCTCAGTGGATGATGGAGAACTGATCCATTCATCTGATGGAGAGAGTGGCTGAACAGGGAAGTGCTCTGTTACCTCTTCAGATGATTGAAGGAGGGAGGGAGAGAGTGAGAGAGTTGTTTGAGCCTCTTTTCTCTCTCCTCCTGTAGCTACTAATGGTGAAGGCCGAAACTGATATTGAGGTATCAGTCCACTGCTAACTGAAGTGGTGCTATTCTCGTGGGACAGAGAAGGTTCCAGTGTGTCAGGTAGTAGCTCTTGTATGGCATGCATTGATTCCAGTACATGTTGGAGTGCTTGTATCAGATTATGAGTGTCTTGTTCTGTAACATTGCCAGTAGCTATGATTTGAGCGCAATCCACCATCTCTTTAACAGCTGCAAACATTACAATATATTTATTAAAACATTATATAAACATGTGTGTACCTAATTCAAGATTTGTGATAGCTCCTCTTATGCTTTTCTTCAATTGCTGGTCGGGTATCGATTTTGTTCTATTTTTAGAAACGTCAGAGAATCTTCTTGCCTTTGCTGCTATTTCGTGGACAATGACTGCAACTTCATGCCATTTCCTCTTCTCCATGGCTGTCCTACATTTTTCCATATCACCGACAATGGTGGCCTCTGAAATAAAGAAAGCAATACATTACAGAATGCAGTCATGGTTAGAGAGCAAATCAATTTTTAAAAGTAAAATTTTAAAATTTAGCTCAACTAAGCTTTTATTTTGAGAGAGAGGTGTAGCTTACCAGTAGCAGCAGTGAAGTCAGTTACATTAATAATTTCATCAATGGCTGCAGTAAGTTCCTTCACCTTTTTCTGCCATTCATTTCTTAATTCGTTGAGACGTCGATCTGCTTCTCTGTCGTGTGGATTATTTCTGACTTTAACGGCGGCAGATGTAACCTTCTTTGTCAAATCATCAAGCTGACTGGTGAGTCGTTTTATCCTTTTTGATCCTATGGATGTACAACAATAACTGTTATGATAGTGAGTCATAGTGAATCATTGACCAGAGTGTGCAACCCACAATTGCCTGAACAATAATATTGCCTTTATAAGCTCAAGTGTAAGGACTGTCAAATCAGATCCTTCACTAGTTGGTTCAACGTGGATATGATGAATGGGTTAGGCACCAGTGCATTGGTGACAATTGCAACCTCATCCTACACCTTGTTACACTACAGCATTAACCCACTGATCCACTAATTCATACCCAATTAAAGGATACTTTTAATTAGAAAAGTATTCAAAGTAGCAAGGTTCATTATGTCTATATTATAGGCCTCATTGCTCTGCTTACTTCTTCTACTCAGTGTCCCTTGTGCTGCATTGATGGCTACTTCACTTAGTCTCCTTGAATGTTGTCGGAATACTTCAACTTTCTTACTCAAACCTTCAGTGGATTCACTCGACATCTAGTAAGAATAATTATTAGAAACACAATGAAACAGTTAAAAACTAATGCTCCTATTATAATAACTGCTGTTACAAAACTAATAATAATAATAATAATAACTGCTGTTTTGTTCTTACTTCTTCAACTGGTGACGATGATGTCACTGCTCCTTTCACAAGATCATCAATTGGAACCGAAGGAGCTACGTATGCATCAGCAACTTGATCAGCTACTGAATTAGCAACCAGCTTATCTAACTCCTCCAACTTTGTGCACAACTTTTCTACAGTATCATCAAACTGTGCCCTATAGATTGTTATACATTATTTCTGTCCTCAGTTATAAAGATTATAGCTCTTACTCAGCCTCTGAAGAGCTTGGATTATTTTGCAAAACTGCGTATTGTTCACTGAGCTCTTTACTAATTTCTTTGACCTAAAGTTTCAATTAAAAGCACTTTCTAACAATGCACATCATGTGCCTATACTCACTTCATTGCAGAGTTTCTCGATGAGTTCTTTAAATTGAGGTCTACTCTCACGAGCTACAATCATTGAATTATTAACAATAGTCTCAAGATTTCTGTCCAGTTCAGAGCTAATGATCTCCCTCCTTTCCTTCAGGGACAGCCTACGCTGCAGCTATTGACAAAAAATAATTTTTGCTAAATAAATAGAAAGCGTTCTTACTTGTTGGACTTGAGTGGCTATTGTTTCTTCAGCCTCATCTTCTTCTTGATCAGTGTCTAGAATGTTATCAGAAGAATCAGAAATATTATAAATCTCATCGTCTTCTTCTTCATTGTCCTTGTTCTCCTCTTCTTCCTCTTCTTCCTCCTCCTCCTCCTCCTCTTCTACCTCCTCTTCCTCCTCCTCCTCTTCCTCCTCTTCTTCTAGAGTTCCATTCACAGCATCCACAATTCCTTTAATTGCTTTTTCAATGGCTTTTGCATGACGGTTCTTTTCCTGATATAAATTAGATGACAAAAAATATTACAAATAGTGACTAACTTTCTTGTTATGTGATTCACGATTTTTAATAAAATTCTGCATTGAATGAGAGAGCGGAGGCAAATGCTTGCGTATTGTTTGAAGGCATGAAAATATCTTTTTCTTTCTTTGAATACTGATGAGGTCCTAAAATGTATTTAAATAATACAAAAGCTTAAATTAAAATTTTTCATGATACCTGATATCTTTGAGTGCTGACTTCAATCAGCTTCATCATTACTTTAGAAAATCCCTGAAATAAACTAATAATTACAACAATCATTGCATTTTAAAACTGACATCGTAGCAAACGACTAAACCTCTCATAGACTGTGCAGTTTGGACTGTCTTCAGTAAGTCATTAGTCCATTTTGCAATACGTATAATCTTTTCTACTTGACTTTCATCCCAAAGCAAGAGAAGCTATTAATCAAATAATGATTTACTTATCATTTTCTTCCCTTGTTACAATACCTTTACTGTTCCTTCAAGTATCTCACATGCAGAATCTTGTAAATTTTTACAGCTTGCATCAGGAGGTTCTAAACTGCTCCCATCTCTCATTTTATCTGCCACCTTTAGGAGGGATTTGGCTCCTTCAAAACTTTGCTTGTATGCAGTGTCAAGACTCTGCTTGTAGTCTGGTTGCTCCAATACCTTACAATAAAGTGAGTGACACTATTTATGCAACAGATGCTTTATATGCCTACCTCTTTCCCTAACTGATCGGTAGCTGCCTGTTCAAGTTTTTCAACAGCTTCAAAGACAGACTGAGCTTGACTGATAATATTTACAGGAGCACGAGTAGACTGATATTCCATTGCTGCACGTTGAAGCTCATACACCTAGTATTAATAATAACATCAATGAATGCTTCCTCTTTGATAATACCTTCTGTGCAATGGGTCTAAGGGCATCTTCTATTGAGTGAGTCCGGATTGATGAGAGCAAACTACTGGAAGACATTGTTTGTGTTTTTCTTTGAATTTACAAGGCGTGTCCTTATCCTTATGCATATGAATCACCTCGAGCGCTTCATGCATGTACCTTGAGCTCGCCCACGCATTAATTAGCACCTTGAGCTCGCCCACGCAGTAGTAAATACCTAACCACACTCCATCATGGTGGTTGGGTTTCTCTTCCTATTTTTCTTCTTTTCCTCTCCCATCTTAACCCATAGTTCTCCATCATTATTCGACTATCAGTGTGGACTCACTACAGCTGGCTGGAGCATACCTCCCCCGCCAGAAGACGTCAATTTAAAACAAGTGATAGCTGTTATACGGTACAAATAGCTTCCATTTTAAATGCTACTACTCAACACACACTCTCTCTTTACAGTCATGGTGACCGTACAGCTTGGAACGGCTCCAGCTGCTGGCCTGGTGATGATTACATTTGGTCTTGCGACCTCGTCCATGGACAAATGCCAGTTGATACGAAAGTGGAGAAAGAGAGAGGGACTGCTGGAAGAATATTTGAAAAGAGTAAGCCCCTTTAATAATGTATGAGTATTATTATTATTTTTATTTATTAGTTTTTTTGCCAACTAATGAAGAAATGCATGGTAATTGTTCAGTAGCTCAACTAACAACAATCGGATACAAGCAGCACTTAGCAAATGGCGGTTCTCTTAATTCTGCATATGTTAAAAACGGATTTCTAACCCCATCACTTGATCCTAGCCAAGTTTTTATTCGAAGCGACGGTGAGAAAAAAATTTGCATTCGTTTTATGTTGCAGTAAAGTTTTATTATAATTATTTAAAAATTTATAGACATACCTCGAACAATCTTGTCAGCTCAGAGCCTCATGGATGGGATGTTCCCCCAGGATGGAAAATGTGAGGACAATGGAGACGATGGATGCACTCAGTTCGTTCCATTGTACACTCGTGATACTATGTACGACAATATGGAAGCCAATGCAGAGTATGTTAGCAATCATTGATTAGTTCAGATTTGAGATTTCTTTATTATTAAGTACATATATTTATATTTTGTAGTTTGTGTCCTAAAGTTACTGAGTATCAAACCCAGTTTTACGAAAGCACTACCTGGTTGAATCATTTAAAAACGACGATCGAGGTTGTTAATAATATTAGTAACACCATTGGATTTAACATCAGTAAGTTTAATAATAATAATAATAATAATTATTATTATTATTATTATTTATAATGCAACTGTGCTTTGTATTGTAATATTTCCCTTTCTTTTTTATTTCATTTCAGGCGATAATTTTGAACACTTCTGTGACTGCCTCATCACTCATTACTGCCACAACGCCTCCTGGCCAGACAAGCTAACGGAGGACCTTGCTCTCTCAGGATTAGATGAGATGGTCTGGATGAGCTACAACTCCTTGAAATACCCGTCAGTTCAAGAGAACGCTAGAGCCGGGATTGGGTTTTTACTCAAGGACATCTGGAAGGTATCAATGCTTATTTTTGTGACTTTCTTGCTAATTTTTGTGGGTCACCTACTAGAATTTTAATCGGTCTGTCAACGGAGAAGATTATGAGAAGTTTAGTCTGTACTCTGGGCATGACACTACGCGTAAGATTTACTAGAATATACTGAAATATACTAAAATATATTTATAGTGATACAGTTATTGGTTGCTCTGGGTATTGATGAAGGAATATGGCCTCCCTATTCTTCAATGATGTTGTTTGAATTATACTCAACCAGCACTGCTCCAGCTGCAGTGAGGGTATTGTATAACGGCAAAATTAAAACACTCCCTTTTTGCAACGGGCAGGAGCTTTGCAGTTATGAGACGTTTTCGAATTATTTAAGCACCGTTACACCTCCTGATGACTATCAAAAATTTTGTCAGGTTTAATAACTATTAATAACCAATAATATAACCTGTGAACACAATGAATGATATGCTTCATTTTCTAACATTAAAAATAAAAATGATAATAATAATGATTAAAAATGCAATGATTAATTATTAATCTTAAGTCTTGTTTGTGTTATTAATTGAAGTGGGTGGAGTCAATGAACTGAAGGTCACCATGACATCATCAGTAGGTCTGCAAACTGGGAGGAGCTTATACTTTTTAATTTCACTAGTGACGCTCCAATTTAATGAGCTTAAAAACTGTGATAGCCACTCCTAATGATGATAATTAATTAAATGCATTAATTAAGTGTTTTATTTTAAGGAAATGCCAAAATTCTGAAAAAATCCCTGTACTATAGCCCATGGATTTTTCTGAAAAATGGGCCAAAAATCACCCCAAATTTTTATTACATTTTCTGATACATATTGATGTCCTTATGCTGCGTAGCAAGTTTGAGCTGATTCCGACTTCAATTTTTCAAGTTATGGCCATTAAAAAAAAAACGCCAAAATTCTGAAAAATACCCAAGGCTATAGCCCATGGTTTTTTCCGAAAAATGGCTCCAAAATCACCCCAAATTTTTATTACATTTTCTGATACATATTGATGTCCTTATGCGGTGTAGCAAGTTTGAGGTGATTCCGACTTCAATTTTTTAAGTTACGGCCATTTAAAAAAAACGCCAAAATTCTGAAAAATACCCAAGGCTATAGCCCATGGTTTTTTCCGAAAAATGGCTCCAAAATCACCCCAAATTTTTATTACATTTTCTGATACATATTGATGTCCTTATGCTGTGTAGCAAGTTTGAGCTGATTCCGACTTCAATTTTTCAAGTTACGGCCATTTTAAGAAAACGTCAAAATTCTGAAAAAATCCCTGTACTATAGCCCATGGTTTTTTCCAAAAAATGGGCCAAAAATCAGCTCAAATTTTTATTACATTTTCTGATACATATTGATGTCCTTATGCTGCGTAGCAAGTTTGAGCTGATTCCGACTTCAATTTTTCAAGTTACTGCCATTAAAAAAAAAACGCCAAAATTCTGAAAAATACCCAAGGCTATAGCCCATGGTTTTTTCCGAAAAATGGCTTCAAAATCACCCCAAGATTTTATTACATTTTCTGATACATATTGATGTCCTTATGCGGTGTAGCAAGTTTGAGGTGATTCCGACTTCAATTTTTCAAGTTACGGCCATTTAAAAAAAACGCCAAAATTCTGAAAAAATTACTGTACTATAGCCCATGGTTTTTTCCAAAAATGGGCCAAAAATCACCCCAAATTTTTGTTACATTTTCTGATACATATTGATGTCCTTATGCTGTGTAGCAAGTTTGAGGTGATTCCGACTTCAATTTTTCAAGTTACGGCCATTTTAAGAAAACGTCAAAATTCTGAAAAATACCCAAGGCTATAGCCCATGGTTTTTTCCGAAAAATGGCTCCAAAATCACCCCAAATTTTTATTACATTTTCTGATACATATTGATGTCCTTATGCTGTGTAGCAAGTTTGAGCTGATTCCGACTTCAATTTTTCAAGTTACGGCCATTTTAAGAAAACGTCAAAATTCTGAAAAAATCCCTGTACTATAGCCCATGGTTTTTTCCGAAAAATGGGCCAAAAATCAGCTCAAATTTTTATTACATTTTCTGATACATATTGATGTCCTTATGCTGCGTAGCAAGTTTGAGCTGATTCCGACTTCAATTTTTCAAGTTATGGCTATTAAAAAAAAACGCCAAAATTCTGAAAAATACCCAAGGCTATAGCCCATGGTTTTTTCCGAAAAATGGCTTCAAAATCACCCCAAATTTTTATTATATTTTCTGATACATATTGATGTCCTTATGCTGTGTAGCAAGTTTGAGGTGATTCCGACTTCAATTTTTCAAGTTACGGCCATTTAAAAAAAAACGCCAAAATTCTGAAAAATACCCAAGGCTATAGCCCATGGTTTTTTCCAAAAAATGGGCCAAAAATCACCCCAAATTTTTATTACATTTTCTGATACATATTGATGTCCTTATGCTGTGTAGCAAGTTTGAGGTGATTCCGACTTCAATTTTTCAAGTTACGGCCATTTAAAAAAAAACGCCAAAATTCTGAAAAATACCCAAGGCTATAGCCCATGGTTTTTTCCAAAAAATGGGCCAAAAATCACCCCAAATTTTTATTACATTTTCTGATACATATTGATGTCCTTATGCTGTGTAGCAAGTTTGAGGTGATTCCGACTTCAATTTTTCAAGTTACGGCCATTTTAAGAAAACGCCAAAATTCTGAAAAATACCCAAGGCTATAGCCTATGGTTTTTTCCAAAAAATGGGTAAAAAATCACTCCAAATTTTTATTAAATTTTCTGATACATATTGATGTCCTTATGCTGTGTAGCAAGTTTGAGGTGATTCCGACTTCAATTTTTCAAGTTACGGCCATTTTAATAAAATGTCAAAATTCTGAAAAATACCCAAGGCTATAGCCCATGGTTTTTTCCAAAAAATGGGTAAAAAATCACCCCAAATTTTTATTACATTTTCTGATACATATTGATGTCCTTATGCTGTGCAGCAAGTTTGAGCTGATTCCGACTTCAATTTTTCAAGTTACAGCCATTTTAAGAAAACGTCAAAATTCTGAAAAATATATACCCAAGGCTATAGCCCATGGTTTTTTTTAAATTGGTACTAAAATCCTTCCAAATTTTTACTACACTTCTGATACAAAGTGATGGTTATTATGCTACTTTGTTCAAAAGGCACAAATCAGCAAAATAATTAGATGGATGAATATATAATCATTACCTTTAATATTGTTTTAACCAATTCTTGTCCAATACAACGCCTTGGCCCACCACCAAATGTCCAAACCAAATCTCTGTCATGTTTGTTTCTAGAAATAAAAAGAGAGAAAATATTATCATTAAATATAATATCAGAATTACACTAATGCCATCATTTTTACTGACAAACCACTCGAATTGAGCCCTAATCACATTTAAAATGCTAATTTTTATATAATTATATTCTTACTACTACCAGAGATTTCCTTTCAATGTTCCCCACTAGTATTAGTTGATCATTACTATTATTATTACTGCTATTACCACTCCTTACTCATTCCTCCATCTTTCTGGTTGGAACTGGTTTGGATCATTGAATACTTTGTTGTCCCTGTTGGCAGAATAGGACATGTAAGCTACAGCATGTCCCTCTGGTATAATGTGACCATAAATAACACATTTCTGAGAAGAGAAAAATAGATATGTTTAACAACAAATTTTTTTAAAATATTTACATACTTCAGTGCATATTCTCCGTCCACCGAAAAATGGCGGCCATAGTCTCTGACATTCTAAAATGACATCTTCCAGGAAAGTCTCATCACTAATACAATCACAGTACCTCTTCTAAACAATTAATCATTAATAATATATTAACGTATAATTATAGACCCACGTTTTCCGGTTTAGATAGCTCAAGAAGTAATGATGTCATTACTGATGCAAGTGCTTTTGGAATGAGTGCAGTGACAAATAAAAGGATATTATTCAAACTGTGTTCAAAGGTATCACATGAGCTCTGTACACCAGCTGCTATCCTATGAGAGGAGAGAAGGAGAAGAAAGAAATGAGGAAGGAGAGCTAATACTGTCTCACTCTGACGGCTGTGTTTGTAGCTTAGTTCTTATTAGATCTAGTAATTTCTCCTAATAAGGAGGAAAAGGAGAAAACATACAATAATACATCTGACCACATCATGTATTCGTAGTAAAGAAATAAAAGTTGTACCCAATTCAAAACTGAAACTGACTAAGTTCCAATAACTATTACATCAATTGATCGTGTGTACAAGAAATGGTGCATGGACTACTAGTACTTGTGTATGACTGCATTGACTATAGTCTAGTACATGTTAGCATACTTTAGCAGCTAGAGCCTTCCCATAACCTGATTTCCACTGGACCCAAGGTAGTTTGATGTTAACAGGTAGAGAGATGATGCCGTGCCAGTGTATAGTCATTAATTCTGTTATTTCTCTCATTTCGTCTTCAGTTAGCAAGGGACTCAGGAATAGCTTCATTGATATTTGTGTAGCAAGAGATTTGAAATGTGTATAAGCACTTGTAGGAGAACTATGAAGATGAAATGATGATAATAACAACAGCGATAAGAAGAATCAAACATGGTTGTGTGAAACTTATATCTCTTACAAACTGTTTGTGTTGTTAGTTTCATAATAAAATTAAGTGCTGGCTCACTTTAAAGGCGTCTCTTTAATGTGGTCTTTAATTAACCTACAGATAAGGAGAGAGGGTGATTCACTCTCTCTCTCTCTCACACACACACTCACTGTTTAACAGTGTCTAGTGATTGTGATAGATTTTGAAGCTCAAAAACGGATTCCAATCCCTCTCTTGCCTGCTCCCACGTCTCACCTGAGACAGCATAATAATAAACACACAATTAACACGACTGCCTCTCATATTAAATAATGCTCACACTCACTTACCATCATGGAATATCAGGTTATCCCCAAATATTTCAAACATGAATTCTTTATATCCAATCGTAAAACACCTCCATTTATCTAAAAGCAGATAAATGTATAGGATCACTTTATTATTTACCATTAAGGAGCTCTTTCACAGATGAGCTACCAGTCAGAAAAATGGTGGGTTTGTTTAACAGTCGCCCAAGAAAGACTTCACCATAGTCTTCCTTCCTTCTCTCCACGTATTGTAATGGCTCACGCCAGAATTCAACGGATTCGTCTCCCAGGAGGCCCAGGGAGACCTTGCTGTTTCCTCTAGCTGGGACTGGAGAGCTGGATCCGGTAGCCATCAATGATTCTAGAGGGAATCTGTGAAAATGAAGATGACAGGAGTGGTTTGTAGGCGGTGTACCAAATTGCGTGGGTAGCTCAGAAACACCCACGCAAAATAAAATTCCAATTGCGTGGGCAGCTCAGTTTCCAAAAGTAAAGTATTATTTATTTTAAATTGAGGGATCAGCTATAATTTTAATTATAAAATTATTTGTTTATTGTTTGGCAACAGCTGCAACGAGAGCAGCTCCTCGACCACTCCCATCTCTTGACTCTTTAATAATGACACCATTACATGGTAGCATCTCGTTAATGGCTGCCCTCATCCTAAAAAAACAAAGAATCAACTTCTTCCATCTCTCCCTCCTTCTTCTTACCTAAATCTAAACTCAGGATGAAGCTTATACAAGGAGCCATCAACAGCAACTGTACACTTCTTCTCTCGGCCCATCTTCCTCACAATGGTAACTATACCAGCAGCTGCTAATCTCGCTGCCCTGGTACTCACGGCCCGACATATTTGAGTCACATACTCACAATCTTGTTCAGTGACAGGATCTAGACCACATTTGTTTTTAAGCACATCCATGCATTCACTGCAGAAAAGAAATAAAATAAATAAATAATTAATTACCTTTTACCCTTTCTCAATGTCAGACAGATAGCTGCTCTTAAATCCTTCAAATTTCTTTAAAACATCGGAAGACTTTCCTCCAAACAGAACTCCGCCATTAATGAGTTTCAGCATTGCGTGACGCACAATCTCTCCAAGGTACTTACCAGAGATCATCTTCTCATATCTGATTAATCATTAATGAGATCACATGACATGTCACATGACAATAAACTTCTTACATTTGACTCCCTCCATTCTCAACTTCAGGCTGACTGTCAAAAGCTTTATCAAACTCTGTAATGACGTCCTTCAGTGATCCTTTATCTCCAAATGCTCCCCACTCTGTGTTTATTATCACTTTATCATGCTGTGACCTGTCACCATTAAACTTTGTGACAGCATCAAGTCTTTCAGTGTAACAAGCGTTAGTTCCTGGAAAGAAAAAATGACTCAAAGAAGAGAAGGAGTATAGATATACACTAGAAGTCAACCATATCTTTTTAAATGGTATAGTAACAGTTCAGTCCATTTTTTAGTTGCATCACGTATAATTATTATTAATAGCTAACCAGTTCCCAGTATGACTCCAACATGACAGTCTTGGTCGCTGTATCCAACAGCCATTTGTGTACCAGTTGTGTCATTAACCAATGCAACTATATCTGTATCAGGAAACTAAATAATAATAATAATGACAATAATAAATTAACTATAATCAGAGCTACCTTCCTGGCATCACTTGCATCACGTAACATTTTAACGACATCATTTCCTTCACAATTGGCAGCTTTGAAGTCTTTCGTCCAGTGAATGAGTGTACCAGCTGTCAAACTGGTTTGATTAACCGGAAAAGAGAATGTGAATCCAAGCGGTAGTTTAGACGTGATCCCATTCTCTTTCTTGAAGTTGTTCAGGGATTCTGCAATGAAGCCAAACAGACGATCTTGATCGGATTTCTTTAACTCTTCGCTGATCGAAAACTTGCTATCAACTTGAGATATATCCCTGTTTTCGCTATCCAATGTTATCTTTAAGACTCTGAAATTGCTCCCGCCTAAAGACCAAAAATAATAAAAATACTTCGTACCACTTCATTCACACTTCAGAGCATAACAAAATTGTGTCCACCCCTCCCTCCATCTTAACCTAAGTCTAGAGCCAAGAAGTCGCCATTTTCTTCCCCACTTGGCAAATTGTGCACATAAGTGATAAGCATCTTCACTTCGCCATCATGCTTCTCTTTGGCTAATCCCGTCTCAAACTGGGCCAGCAAACGGGAGGATATGGCCTCGAGTCCTTCTTTGGTCACTGGCTTAAGGAAAGCATCCACAATATCTCCCTAGGTAACAGAATAAAGCAGCACAAACTGATGAACACTTACCACACTTGATGCCATGTCTACTTCCTAGCTAGCAGGGCTACTGGATTAGGGGAGTGACCATTCATCAAAATTATTTAAAATTGAATTTTATAACAGAGTAAATGCAAAAACAAGACAGTGAAAATTTCAATTAGACTATGGAATAGAATATACACATTTTAAAGTTTGACAAAAACAACAACAACGCAACAAAAACAAGAACAATAATAATATACAGCTTGCATTCCCAGAATAATTATAATAATATATATGATAAGCTCGTTTTTAAGAGAAAGAGCAGCTAATCACGTCATGATAACCCTCTCCGTTTGTCTCCAGTAACTCATTAAGGACCAGCTCTACATCATTTCCATGTTTCTTAAGCAATCGGCTATTAACTGCTCTATTAGCAAAACCCATACTGATCAGCTCTTCCATTGGGGTCGATGGTTTTGGCTCCTCCCATTTCTGCTTGATAAAACGAGAAGTGTCCGGTTCTTGATGTATTAGTTTTGATATATCACCAGAGGCAATGCTGTCCTCATCTTCAGGAGGAGGCGGGGCACTGGGTGTGGTTTTTGGTGATACAGTTGGAATGTGTTGTTCGGCAAGATCAGTCACAGTGTTTATGAGGCCTACGGCATAAGTCAAAGGATTACGTGATCGTGACATCCATACATCAGATAGTTTGATGCGATCAGGAACAAAAGTATCTCCTTCTCTCCTTGGTATTCGCTTAGGTGAAGTCTGTGGGCTCTTCCCTGGTTGAGAGACAATAGGAGGAAAGAGAGGGGGAGGAGGGCTAATGGGAGGTGGAGAGGGAGTGGGAGAGACAGATGATTGTTCTTGCTCTCCTGGCAGCTGGACTGATGGTGGGTCTTCGGTAACTGGGGTCGTTCCATCAGGCGTGAATCCTTCAAGTGGCTTGTCCAGTTTGAAACAGTCTGGGATGACGACAACAAATTCATCGTCTGAGCAATCATCATCTGAACAATCTTCATCATCATCTAAAAGAGAGAGAGAGAGAGAGAGGAGAGAGTTCATCTCTATTACTAATTATTACTATTATTACTTACTTCTGCAGCTTTGATAGGAGAGTACAGGAGGTGAAGGAGGATCAACAAACGAGTAGCTACTCTCTGAGGTATTGTCCCCTTGATGCTGCTGCTGGGTCTCCTCCTCTTCCTCCTCCTCTTCCTCCTCTTCTTCCTCCTCTTCCTCAAAGACAGGATATTTTATTTGTTCAAATGATAAAGTTAGTTCATCAATAGGATCTAATGGGAGAGAGAAAGCACATTAATGATAAAATTATTATTATTATTTATTCTTTATTAGTACCTGGTTTTAATTGACACGAGAGCCATAGCGTGCAACCAAAAGGAGTGGTCTTGTTATGAACAAGACGCCATGAGCTCTTGATGCTTGAACCGTCTTCTGGAGAAATTGCAGGATAATCAACTGAGACATTCTCCTGAAATGAGAGAGAGAGAGAGATTGTGAATATTTTAACCTAATAATCATTCTTATAATACCTGCTGTCCAGGAGCAAGATCAGGCACATCAACCTCTCGTTGTATTGGAAGGAAACCATCTTGATGGACCAGCTGTACATTACGCCAGGTCTTGGTCCCAGTGTTCTGTATGATCCAACTCTTACTAAAAGCTTTACCATACAGGATAACTGATCCATCTGGAATGTTGCCATCAACGACAAACTTTGAATCAAGGCACCTGTCAAATGAGAGAGTTTTTAAATAATTAAAATAATAACATGATACTTACTTTCCATGTCCCTTCTGTATAGAAGAGCTTGATTCAAGTGATTCCATCATAACTGCTCCATTACCAGCTCCCTGAACTTCTCCTTGCTCCTTTCTCCTCTTCTGTCTGGCTGCTTTCAGCTCCCTCAACTGCTTCTTGCTATATCTGATCATGTCTTCCTGTGCATTGATATGAAGAGGCTCTTCCCTTGTCGTCTTCTTCAAGTCTTCCCTCAGCTGCTTCTTAGAGCGCCTGATAAGACTTGGGGCTGGTTTCTTCATTTTAACGGACTCCTCGTCTTGTTTGACAGGCAGTGTGGGCGGAGGACTCATCATTACTGGAGGTACAACTAAAGGATCGTCTCCGATTATAAATAGTTCGTCTTTTGGTTTTTGTTGGTGCTGCCCCACTGGTTGCTTGATGACCACCATTGAAGAGGAGCCCCTGCAATTAGTAACTAATTAATTAAGTAATTAATCATTTTCTCTTACTGTTGCTGAAGTGTCACATCAATTTGAACATATTTGTCTTTGTAAATGTTCTTTTTCAGCAACGGTTTCAGTTTTCCCTTCTTGTTTACGCCAGCACGAGGAGCTGGTTTCCTGATCTTTATAAAAACGTGAGTGTCATCGTGAAAGAACTCGGAAAATGATTCACAGTTTTCACACAAATCAAAATCCAAACAATTACTAGAGAGAGAGAGAAAGAGAGAGGAATTAATATTAAAACAACATAAATGTAAATACATATTATATGTATATGTACATTAAACTTGTATACTATTACTTACCCACACTTATAACGAATTCCAGCAATTTCTTTTTCACAATAGTCACAGACTATTCCTTTGTGAGTCACTTTATCAGGAGAGCATTCTTTCTTCCTTGCACTCTCTTCCTCCTTAGCTCCAGCCTCACCTTTAACTTCAGCTATGATGGCTTGTGTATACTAACAGAGGAGAAGGAAGAGAGATTAAAAGATAATACCTACCGGTAATGTATGTGTGTACATGTACATTGGCTATGCTCATATACCACAAAGTATCCCCCATCAACATTTTGATAAATCTCCCCATACAGTCACATGTACATGATTTTATTTTACACAGAATTACTAAGTCATAAAGTCATCACTAAATGTACATGTACTATGTTGTAAAAGGACTCTTACTTTCTTCATTGCTTCCTTGAACCATTCTGGTTCTTCAATGGCATCCATTGATTGGCTCTTGCCCAATAAAGCTTTAGCTGCATATTCAGCAGCTCTCTTCCTCTTCTCTCCAATACAGGTAGCCAACTGAGAGTAGTGCCTCTTATGAGAGTGACCATGGTGACCGTGACCATGGTGATGATGATCGTGGTGACCATGGTGATGATGATCGTGGTGATGACGTTTCTCCTATACAAAAAAGTTGACAATCAGTGATAGTAATTAACAGGGAGGAGAGAGAAAGGGAGCGAGGGTGACAGAAGGTGTACATGTACATGTACATACTTTAGGTTGTTTCTCAATGTCCTCAATAAGCAAGTGAAGCTGCTTAGTCTTGTTGGCCTGTTCAACAGCAACAGTGAATTCACCTACAGGTGGAGAGAGAAGGGGCTGACTATATGACCTTGTTGTAATGACATATGAATTTAATACACGCCCATATATGGGACTGTTGATCATTGTGAATGTTCCAGTACATCACATTTGTACACATAGAGTACAAGGTCACATGAGAATGACATACTAGTGTCAATATTAATTAAACAATTTAAACTATTAACAAAGATTAGCCGTGTCATGTAATGCACCACCATGATACAACAAAAGTTCAATTTAGTAATGGCAGTTATTATAGTATATGTACAAGTACATACATAAACAATGTACATATGTACACATATTTCACTAATTCTCAATCAAAATATACATTAGATGATACCCATAATATCCCTGTGCATTAATCTTGCACATTATATGAAACGTGATGCTCAAGCTATATCATTATTATGACGATACAAAAATGAAATACTTACCATCAGATTCTAAAGCCACAGCATTCCCTTCTTCATTGATAAAAAGCAGTCTAGCCTTATCAAGGCTTGTTAGCTTATCAATCTGAGAGAGAGAGAGGGGGGAGAGGTAGAAGATACTTGGACATACAGTAACTCTCATTCTTACCAGAGATCTCAAATCTTGAAGAGTTGTCAGTTCCTCCACTGCTAATGGCGTAAGGCTGTGCTTGTTTCTAGTCAGGGTAATAATGACCTCTTGTCTGTCAACGTCCATGATTGGTCGTCTCTTATAGATTTAAGAGAGGTTCATATAGAAGGGCTTTTTATAACGCTGCAAGATTATACAGCGTCGGGAAGAAAGCTGAACAATCTTGAATGTAAACTAAAAATAGTATCAAAACCTAAAAATAAAACAAACACTTGCGTCATGGACCACGCCTAAATCTAGAATGCCACGCCCGTTTTATCATCAAACCACACCCCACACCAACTTCACATGTAAAAGCCTAAAAGGGAAGGATGATGATTTGTTTCAAGTTTTATTTGTTTCTTCTACTGCTAGTGACCCTGTGGGTCTCTATACTAGCCGAGTAAGAGTCAATTTCACTGTTATTTTATTTATAACTACTCTTTTCACAGGAGAGATTTTTATCAAATTTTAGGAGTGAACAGAGATGCTACCTCTAAACAAATAAAGAAAGCCTATCGTACGCTAGCAATGAAATATCACCCGGACAAGAATAAAGACGACCCCGATGCCCAGACAAAGTTCCACGACATCAACGAGGCCTATGAGGTAATTAGGGGGTGTGGCCAGTCACGTGACTATATCATGTGATAGGTACTTAGTGACGAGGAAAAGAGAGACATTTATAATAAGCGGGGAGAAGAAGGACTGAAGAATCATGGACAACATGGCGGCGGGGGAGTTTTTGAGTATGTACATGTACATGTACACATACTCACTATTTTTGTATTTTGTATATTTACTCATTCTCTCTCTCTCTTGTAGTAATTTCTTTGGAGGATTTGGCTTCCATTTTGGACAAGCTGACAGCGGACATCATGAAATACCACGAGGAGGTTCCATCACAATGGATCTTGAAGTAAAGAGAGAGGGAAGGAGAAAGAGGGTTCGGGATCTGGGTGGAGTTTATCACTACATATATACCCATTAGGTCTCACTTGAAAATCTTTACAACGGTCAGACGTTAAGAGTAGCTAGATACAAGCCAGTACCTAAAGCAGCTAAAGGTACTAGGAAGTGTAACTGTCGTATGGAGACAAAAACCATACCGATGGGCCCCGGAAGGTTTCAGGTGAGGGACGTCATTGAAACTGTTTTCATTATGCAAATTTAATGTCACAGATGGTACAACAACAAGTGTGTGATGATTGTCCGAATGTAAAGTAAGTTTCAGTTTTAATTTATAATAATAATTATGATGAAAAAACAATATCATTGTTAATGTGGTATGGACTAGTATGTTGCATAGTTGATTTTTAATAATTTTTCCTGATCACAGGTTTGTCAACGAAGAGAAGATCCTTGAAGTAGAAGTGGAACCAGGAATGAGTCATGAGAGCCAGTATCCGTTCATATCTGAAGGTACAGACATTGTGTCACATGATAATCACCTGATTTATTGTTCCAGGTGAGCCACACATTGACGGAGAACCAGGAGATCTTATTTTTGTAATAAAGCAAGAAAGGTTTGTCAAATTTGACTGGCCAGTGACCCTGTGTCATCTTTATATCTGTTGAAATAGACACCATATGTTTGAAAGGCGTGGCGATGATTTATACATGAATATAACCATTTCATTGAGAGATGCACTGACTGGCTTTAATATGGAGATTACTCATTTGGACGGACACAAAGTAAAAGATAAAAGAAGTAGGGGTCAGTCTTAATTATTATTTAAATTAATAGGTCGAGATATCTCGTGACAAGGTAACATGGCCTGGTGCCATTATCAAGAAGAAAGGAGAGGGTATGCCAAACTATGACAACAACGTCAAGAAAGGTGACCTTTACATTACGTTTGACGTTGAGTTCCCTCGAGGTGTCATTTCTGATCAAGACAAAGAAGGTAGGATTGTGATGTCATAAATTGTCATAATGTGTCGTAATGATGTTTTTGTAGACATCATACGAGTTCTTAATCAAGAACCTAATCAGAAACCGTACAATGGACTCTAGCGAATATTAATTTACTATTATTTATTACAATTCTTATTATTAGTATTATAACTATCACATCCTTTCGCCTTCGGGCATTTTTTGACTTAATAATATTTTGTATAATAAACAAAAAAAGAGAAATGATTAAAATAGATACACAATTTTACACATACACAAGTAGTGAATATAAGGTATAGTTATAATAGATCAGGAGGATTATCTGTGTAAAGATTAAAGAAGTATTGTTGGATGAAGTTATAAGATCACTTACCTCCACAGCCAGGTACAGGTGTAGCTAGTACAGCACCATTTCTAACACAATTCCTATCAGGAATGAAATATTCATCCTCACTCTTCCAAGATCATTTCTAAATCCCTTCTCTCCCTCTCTCTCTCCTCTTACAATATGATGCACGGGTCTTGATTATCAATACTCTCTCCAATAAGATATATCTTGTCCCTATACATACATTCTATAAAAAAACATCAATATTCCCTTTCACAGTGACATAATGTCACTAACTATCAGGCTTATGTGTAACGGTTACAATAATTCTTTTATAAGCTCCTCCATCAATGATGGACTGATCATCAGCAAAAGAGGTACAATTTCCATTATGTCTGATACCAATGACACTACCTCTCTTGCATTCTTCCTTCCACAGGCAGTTTTTACTAGAATAAGTGATTCCATCATTACCACACACAGTCTCATTGCTCCTTGTGGCATTGCCTGTTGCTGTGCAGTTATAAAAAGGACATTTGCAGCTCAGTTCTCTGCCACCTGTGACTTTATTGTGTGTCTCTGTACAGTACTGACGGTAACCACAGGAATGAGCAGAACATGAATCTACTAGAAGGATGTAAAAGATTAAGGTGCAGTGATTTTCCCTTGCCACACCCTGCAAACAGAACAATGCAGGGCTTCACCCAATAAAAATAATTGTACTTTCTGTGTTATAGTGTTGTTCAATAATCATGAGAGCATGGCTCTATATGGTCTATGAATTTTACCAAAAATGGGTGTAAAAAGAATCCAATTTCTAATATCCTTATGCTATGTGAAAGGTTTGAACTGATTCTGATGATTCAGAACCAATGGTAGTTTTTCATTAAAAATTACAGAAAGGTACATTGCAATATTCTTGTTACGTTCAATTGAACCAAACGTACGTAACCCGTTACCTGTCTCACAGAATCCCATTCTCTCCTCATTAAACACCCTCCCCAGTCTATAGACACACTTTAAACCGGGTTTACACGAGCCCCAGTAGTTAATGGTACCACCACAAGGATCTGTCTCATTCCTGGCACAATAAGGGCAGCAGCCACACTGGTCCGTGTACACGTGTCTACAATAGACTGGAATACAGGAATCAGGGAGGCATGGAGGACAATCAATTGAGACAGAAAAGACAAGAGCAGATAGATAGAGAAGAAGAATGGGAACATACATCATTGCAGCACGTGGGTGTGGCTCATTATTTTTAATTAAAAGATCTAATAATTATTTCTAATGAATACTATTATTATTAATGAAAGAAAAGAGAGATTAATTATAGATAAGAACAAAAAGATTCAAAGGGGATAAAGGATTGGATTAACATTACTAGAGAAAAATAAATAAAAAAGATCAGAAACCGGTAGAACTGAGTTCAGTGAGAGCAGAATGAGGAACGGTGAGAGAACCAGCTACAATTAGACACTCCTTACTAACAGCACATGACATTACACTAATCACTAGCTCAGATTTATCTGGACGAAAGGACTCAGACAAATAAGGAGACACAGAATAGGAGGAAGAGGGAGGAGAAATAGAATGGGACTGGGTTTCACTCTCTGGTGAGACTAGGTCGACTTTGTTGGGATTTTCTTTCGATTCTTCTTCAACTTTTAAACTAGTCCCACTAGGCTCCTTGGTGAGAGACAGGGTCTCATTAAGGGGACAAAGGTTAACACCCTGGGCATATTTCTCCTTCCATTTGTTCTCTCTCAGTGGAAGAGAAGCGGCTATGCTGTGACGGCGTGCTAGTTTGCTCTTGGATTGCGTTAATTCACGAGCCTGAGATAAAAGAGTTTTAAATTTCTCGAGGTCGCTGTTGTCAAGTTCCTCGTTGCTTTCAGCACGAGTCATCAGATCATCGAGATCTTCATGAATTGATCTTGGTCTGGGGCGTCTCTGCGTTTCCATATAGAGTAAGTAATCAGTTTAATACAGCTGTGGAGTGTTTGAAAACGAGTCCAAGTAGACCGTTCGGCTAGACAAAAGACAAAACAAGCCACAAAACTTCTTATCTCCTCGTATCTTCTAAAATGAGCTGATCGAGTCGAGATTGTCGAGATTGTCGAGATTGTCGAGAATGACTGTGCATTAAATGGCGTCACAAGTCATATGTGCATGCACGTATCGGGTTAGGCTAGTTATTAAAGGAAAAATGGCTGCCAGATCTACAGTGAAAAGAAGTTTTATCAGAGGAAAGAGATACTTAAAGGACCAGTGGGACACATTGCTATGGATACTGGCCTCTTTTGGAGTCCTTTATCTGTTTGAAGTCGCTTCAAATATTTTATTTAATCCTTTGGTGAAAAGGTAAGAATGGAAATAATTCACACTGGATCTTTTGATTTTTTTTCTCTTCTAAAGAGGATGGCAGGCTGTTTCTTTCATCTCCTTGGTAATAGGAGCTGTTTGCGTATACAAAATAGCAAAGAGAAGTCCTCGTTTAAAGCTGACTGATTGGGACAGTACTTGGACTCCCACCATCGGCTTTATTGGCGGAGTGATGGGTACTATAAGGTACTCTTGTTACTATTAATAGCACTCAATGCAATTTATTGTGTTACTATTTTTAGTTTTATTGTATCGATGTGGCCGGTATGGCAGTATTGGACTTTGTTCATTGTTGCTGTTCTCTTTATGGGATTCATTTCAATCGTTTCATTAATTTAATTTTTTTATTATTGAAAATTAATAATAGTCACACACAAGACACAACCAATCAAGCAATCAAAATAAACTATAGTTAATTTTATTAATAATAATTATATAAACATTATAATTTCAGTACTGTCTTTGTTTTTTTTCAATCATTATAAATACTTTCTGTGTCCTTTTTCTGACCCTCAAAGTTTCCATAAGCTTCAAACTCTTCAACATAACGCATCAGTAACAAATAAACCATCTTATATTGCACCTAATATTAATCATCAATCATCATGAGCTACTAATAATAGCTACTATTATCATCATTTACCGGCGTAGTTATTAATCCTGGCTTGCAAGTCCTCATATTATACAATATCTCATAAATATTAACTTGCTGTTCTATTTTCATTTGCTGTATTGAAGTATATAGCACACAGAAGACGCCACTCCTTGATACTGTATCACTGAAGAAGTGCATGTACATGTATATAAAAGTACTTGTATGTATATCATTGCTGTTTTTTGTTGTTTACCTGCAGTGTACCAATATTGGATTATTTCCTGTTTTTCTTTGTATTTTTTCAATTTCTTGAATGGCTGATAATATCCCAACCCTCTCTGTATGTGAGAGTTCATCACTGACTATATTACTAAGAGGTAACTGGATGAGAATGATAGTCTGCTCCTCACCAGCCTATTGCATGTAAATAAAATGAATATTAATATTAAAATTTTATCATCATTATCATCACCATCATCATTATCAATATTATTATCATTATTATTATTATTATTATTATTATTATTATTATTATTATTATTATTATTATTATTATTATTATTATTATTATTATTATTATTATTATTATTATTATTATTATTTGACCTGTGTATCAAGGACTCTTAGTATAGTTTGAGTATAATAATTATCGATGTTCATCTCGTGGTGCTTTATGCGATAGAAATCAAAATGTCTCTCACTGTCATATGTTGCTGGCCAATATTGGTAGCATGTGTCCTGGGAAAGATACCCAACTCACAATACATGTATTTATGCATGAGGTAGGTGACTAACCACTTCCATTTCCACAATGTCACAAAGCATTACAATGACTGAACATTTATTTTTCACTATCATTGACCAGAAATTGGCAGCAGTCAGTTTTGTGGGTGATTCTGCGACTATGAATGACCTTGCTTCTTGATAACCCTGAAATATTATTACCATCATCATCATCATTATTATTATTGTTATTCTTACATTGATGTATGATGCATGAATAAAGTCTTCAGTTTTCTTATTCAAGACAACTCTATACTCATCAGCTAATAAATGAATAAATAATCTACATTATTTATTATTTAATAATAACTTACGCGGTAGATAGAGATCAGATCTTACAAGAGGTAAGTTCGACAAACCAAAGTTCCTCAATACTGAATTAGGTTTTACTGTTAATACTTGCAACGCCTATAACACCAATAACAAAAACAACAACACTAATAACAACAATAACAAAATGTTTGTTTATTTACTTTATAATGAGCTTCATATCTGTTCATGTTGAGTATCTCGTCGTGCTTTCCAAGTCTTTTAACAATCAACTGAAGGTTGCTTGGAGTAATGGACTCTTTTCCAATTGTGTAAAAGGCTTCAAGCAACACATAATGCACAAACTGGTACTGCTCCTATTGATAAATAATGAATAACAACAACAACAACAACAATAATAGTAACAACAATAACAGCAAATAATAAATAATAACAACAACAACATCAACAACAATAATAACAATAATAGTATAATTAGTACTTCAGTCTGTATCATATTCATTCTTTGAGATCTCATTTTATTGACAATGGCCATCACATCAACTCCTCCTGTACTCAGTCCTTGTTCAATCCCAATCATTATTGATATCAACATACCAGTGACACCTATGCCTCCACTGTGGGCAGCATATGATATTAGGTCATGTGGCTGTCATGTGACTTTATACTGACCTGCAGTGTATTAAAACTGGCGGTGGTAGGTCTAACCACATTTTGATTTGCTCGTAAAATGAGTGGGTGGAAGTAGGCGTGGCTGGGACTCCGTGGTCCGGCCAACATTTGAATAAGTAATGATGAATAGTTTTATGAGAATTATCTGATGAGCTGCTGCTTGTCATCTATAGGAGAATATCAATTGTGATAATAATTTAAGTGTCTTTGTGGAGGGTATTTCATCCGGTAAAAATTTTCAAAATTGAAAAAAATTTTTATTCTACTTACTGATAATTTGATTATTCTTTCTTCTGATACTTTATTATCATTAATTCCTTCAACTATGATTTTAAAAGGTCCATAGAAAGCTGCTACTCCAATGGCATCAGGCCAATACTGCTGACACCTCACTATCCCTCCATCACTAGTGATGCTTAGCATCATCAATATGCAGCAGATGTCTTCCTGCCAGATTAACCGCCAAAAATCAACCAGTGTTTGTGGTAAAGGACCTGCATGTAATAACAATAACCAGACATTGCTATAAACTGGGCAAAATTTGGGGGTAATTTCAGAGCCAATTTTTGGAAGAATCATTGGCTATAGTCTCTACTTTTAAATTTAAAATGCATTACCTTGTGTTGCAATAAATTGATGTTTCTTTTTGTATCCCTACAGAAATAAGAAGCAACTATTAAACACTAGTACTATAATTAGTGATGCACCGATACCGATACTAATATCGGTATCGGCCCATTTTTATCAGAATCGGTTGATATCGGTATAGGCAAAAAGAGTTACCGATATAAGAATTGTTGTAAAGTATAATAATTCTTAATAAAAATAATAATCACATCCACAAAATGACATGAAAAAAACAGTTTCAGTACAGAGAAAGCAGAGATGCTACTGTTTTTAAGAAAGAACCTACCAATTTTTAACTATTAACATTAATGACACTAATCAATGATTGTTGTTAAAGGTAAAAATTGAATATTTTTAGTCTCAAAAACATTTTCATGAAAGTATCGGTATCGGCCATGTTAATGCAATTTGCACAAAATAATCGGCTGGTTAATATCGGTTTTGAAAAATGTGTATCGGTGCATCACTAACTATAATAATAATAATCAAACAAACTGGTTTTGTAGCTCATAATCAACTATGACTCACATCAATATAAGAAGCATTGATATAACTGTGACTACAGTCCCCCCTTGAGCTTATTGGACGTAAAGTAAGTAAATTATTATCATCTAAAAAGAAAAAAGGGTCACAATTATAACAAGATGACAATACAGTTTATATAAGTACATGATTGCTAACCACACAGTCAGTCAACCCACGAGACCTTTTACAAATATCAGCCTATAAAACCTGGGAAGGTATACTCCAGTATTAATTGCACTAAACTTAATAACACATAAAAAAATTTTTGGATGGGTTTAAATAAAAACCCTCTTTCTGATTTTAAACATTAACATTTAAATGCATTGCTACATTTAGTCTTGAGACTAATTCACCTACACTATATTGCATAGACATACACATTTGCATGCTTACATGGTAATATTGTCTTAAATCGATTTCTTTTCTTATTTTCGGAACAATTAGCTACTTCAGTTGAGAAAAGATGACCAAAATTTTGCAATCGCTACAATAATAAAAGTAAATAATAATAATAATAATAATAATAATAATAATAATAATAATGATAATAATGATGATCATGATACCTGAAATTCAGATTTAAATCCTTTCCCTCCATTACTCTTATTCAGCAGCTCAATGTGATCAGCGAACTCACTTAATTTAACATAATTACCCTCAAACACTATCTTGGGGGTGTGGTCAGTCATATCAGACTCCGCCTCCATTATCCCATCTTCCTCCTCCTCCTCCACCCTCCCCTTTTCAATAAACACTCGTATTTGTCCACTGATGGATTTCAGTAGATTCGATGCTGTGTAGTTATACACACCTATCAAACTATGAATAATTAATTAGCCACACCCACTAATTACCTGCATGCATAGGAAGTATGTCGTGTATTAAAAGCGTGTTGTCTTCTTCGCTCATTTCATAGTGCTCGTCATCTCCAATAATCTGATTGTTAAAGAACCAGGTTACATCTGGGCGTGGCTCTCCACCCACGCATAATTTTAATACTATGTCATCTCCTTTAGCAGCATTGATATCTTTAGTTGTTGATAATAGATACGGAGCTATAAAATTTGAGAAAAATTAAGGAAAGAAAAATTGTCAAAAGTGAGCAAATTGGGGTTTCAAAATACATGTATATGCTTCAAATTTCGATATGTACATGCATAATGTGTACATGTAATACGTGGATTACACATGCACATGTACCTTTGCCAGTTTTTTTCCTTGTTATCATTGGCAGTAATATCTCCCTTCCACTGGCTTTTGAGACTCCCTTCTGGCACCTTTTGATAAATAATAATAATAATAATAATAATAATAATAATTAAATGATGATGATGATGATGATAAATTCTACCGTTTTCTCCAAACTATAGTAATAATAATTAAAATTATTATTATTATTGCTAGACCAACTCCTCCTCCTCCTCCTATCCATAAATATAGAGAAATGCTGGTATCGCAATTACCATGACAACCTAAAAACAAAGTAGAGAAAAATTACAGGAGAGAGAAGGGAGGAAATTAAGATCATCAGAATTAAAGTTTAATTACCATTTAAATTTGTAAAATTTCCATTTATTAAAGTGTTGTTAGTGTATATTCCAGCTGCTATTGAGATTGAGTAGTTATATTTATCGCCAATGGTTACACTATGGCTCCAACGTCTCGTTGTATTGTTATTAATTAATATTACATTACCGGACTCCTTGTTAATAGCATAATTAATTATAATATTAGTTATTATAGTTGAGACAGGTCTGTACCAAGTAACTGTGACTTCATTCAGTGTCCAACTAATATTCATTGTTCTGATTGACTCTATCAATCAATATTTATAAGAAATAATAAATAAATAAATAATCTCACTTACCAATACTTCTTGTTCTCATTGTTATTGTGCTCCGTTGGCCGATTCCTCCTTCATTAACAGCTGCAACACTGAAGGTGTAACCCATATTTGGCAATAGTTCTTTAATATCGATTATCTTATTTCCTGTTGATAAATTTCTCACTGATGATGATGAAGATGAGCTAGTAGATATCAATATAATATAATTATTGATAATTCCATTGGTAGAATTTGGTTCATTCCATGATAGCTGTGCTGTTATGAGCCCAACAGAGGCGGTCAAATTAAGCACTCTACCAGGTGCTAAAATTAAAAATAAATATAATTAATATTACGTACATTACAACTTACGACATTGTGGACTTTTAACATGTACTCCTTGACTATAGGGTCCGGTGTTGTTTCCAATATTGACTTGTGATACTCTGACACAATAATCAGTGAAGGGTCTGGGAAAGGATATGTTTAGTACTGGTTCCAGTGATGTAATTTCTTGATCATAAGACCCCTTGGAACAATCTTCACTTTCAGCCAATTGAACTGAATAATGAGAGAAAGGGCTGATCCACTCTGAGCAGTGAAGTGGCAGCCATGATAAAATTGTGAGATTACAGTGAACATTAGTAGCATTTAATGATAATGGAGCTCTAGAAGGAGCTGGAAATAAATATAAATAAATAAATGAATAAACAAATAAATAAATAAATAAGTAAATACCTGTACATTGTAAATAAAATGGATATATTGTTTCTAGCTTACCTCTTGTTTCTGAGGGTATAACTGAAATGTTAACACAATAATATGAGCTGTTAGTGACATCATTGCAGGGAGAATATAATGATATTTTAAAGCAATACTCCAAACCAGCCTGCAATGAGCACACTTCATTGCTGTAGTGCAATAAACTGCTGCTGTTTTGGTGGAATTTGATGTACTCTTGCTGCTCAGTGGCACTGCAGTTATTATAATAATGAATTGATGCATGATTTATTAAAGTTGGGACTGGCTGATGGAGTGACCAGTTAATAATAAGACATGTTGAATTAGTTGAAGATATTGTATCAATAACAACTGAAGATAGGGCCCCGAGAGAGGGAGGAAAAAAAGAGAGGGGGAAATTAACAAGAAAGAAAGAAGCCTATATTTGCACACCATATTTGTTAATTCGTGCATTATTAACAACACAACATAGTATGAGGATAAACAAACAAATAAATATAAATAAATAAATGAATAAACAAATAAATAAATAAATAAGTAAATACCTGTACATTGTAAATAAAATGGATATATTGTTTCTAGCTTACCTCTTGTTTCTGAGGGTATAACTGAAATGTTGACACAATAATATGAACTGTTAGTGACATCATCCCAGGGAGAATATAATGATATTTTAAAGCAATACTCCAAACCAGCCTGCAATGAGCACACTTCATTGCTGTAATGCAATAAACTGCTGCTGTTTTGGTGGATTTTGATATACTCTTGCTGCTCAGTGGCACTGCAGTTATTATAATAATGATGAATTAATGCATGATTTATTAAAGTTGGGACTGGCTGATGGAGTGACCAGTTAATAAGAAGACATGTTGAATTAGTTGAAGATATTGTATCAATAACAACTGAAGATGGGGCCCCTGAGAGAGGGAGGAAAAAAAGAGAGAGGGGGAGAGAGAGGGGGGAAAATTAACAAGAAAGAAAGAAGCCTATATTTGAACACCATATTTGTTAATTCTTGCATCATTAACAAGACAACACAGTATGAGGATAAACAAACGGACAAAGTAGTGGTAACAAACAGCACTGTTATGAATACACACTGAGCATATATTATCAATAAAGAAGTGTCAGCATCAAAAACAATACATGTACAATAAGTAAAACACTTTCAATCGCTGACCTTGTGTCACAAAATTCACCAACTGCATCTCACTAGGGAGCAGGTGATCCTCAGTTGAATAAAGTAATAAATTGTAAGACGAATTGTCACTGATTGGATAATAATAAAAGTCATTTGGAGTGCTCACATTTTGACCCGTCTCATTGTTATAAATATAATTAATCAGATTATTACGATCAATGTCTCCATTTTTCCATCTTATAAGAGAATGTGTCTTATTAAATCCGCTAAAAGTTATGTCAGTAATAGATCTTGTAATATCTAAAAATAATAATTATACACTTCAAACTCAAATTTTAGTACCAAAGTTTGACTTACCAAGACTGATATTTAAAGATGTGAATTCCTCCCCATTAGTGCTGATGTTAGCCACGTACAGTCCAGCTGCTTCAGATGGACTAGAGATATCTATTATTAGTAACACGTTGCTATATATAACTTCTGCAGCATTCAAAAGGCGAGAGTAATGACTTTGATTGAAATAACTTGAAGGTGTTGACCAATAAACGTGAGTAGGAGGTAGAGCAGTTGAGTTAAATGAGAGAGAAACAGAAAGAGGACGATGTAGACTTAGAACTTGAAATGAAATATTTGTTACATTAGGTAGTCCAATGGTGTCACTGCTGCTCTTAACAATAAGAAATAATCTGTCAGCCTCTTCTTGTGTAGCATTTATTACTAATCTGCAACTGTAAGCACCACAACGAGAAGAACAGTGTTCCACAGTAATACTGCTAATGATATCCAATTGAACTGGATTGTGTGCATTTACTAGGTTACTCATTGAACTAGAAACATTATGACCAAAAGGATCTATCCAAACTGCAGTAATATTGTCAGATCCAGTACAACAGGTGACTCTGCTATTGGCAGTACCTGCTATTGCAGTATTGTTTGGTAAGGGAGAGCAACTGGTGTCGTAAAGCATGGGCTTATCTGTTGAGAAATGTATAAAATGTAATAAAAGGAAAAGATGCCTTACTATCATTGCAGGGGCAGTTGCTCATTAAACACGGAGAGAAAGAGACGAAGAGGAGAAATGATAAACACACAACACCTGCTCTTCTACATTGCTCCATCTTTGCAAACTGCAAAACTTGCAATTAATTGATGGGTGTGGTCTAGTCTAAACTGGAGGTGTGGCTGCCTAGTACTGGAAATGGCTGATAACGAAGTCAAAGAGAATATAAGGAAAAGAAGCGTTGAGCTTTGTACAGCAATAGAGAAGAGAGCTGCTGAATTACTGAGTACACTGTCAGACCAATCTCAGGCTGAAAGCACAGGCCAGATCTTTATACTGGAACCAAACCTACTGGAGAAATGTCTCTCCCTTGGAACTGTCATAGACAAAAAGCTCCTCCCACAGGCTAGCAAGTGTCACGTGACTGGGGACCTCCAAGAGGCCACAGTAGACGAGGCCAGTCATGTGACCGTTCACTTATTAGCTGATGGTAGGAGCTCATTTGATACCAAAAACCTACCGATAGATGTGAAACTCATTAATATTCACGAGGAGGTGGAGATGGTTGGTGAGAGGGTTAGGGGGAGACGGGAGGAAGAGGAAGAAGAGGATCGTGTATCGTTTCGGTACGTTCCTCATCATACTGGCCCACATACACTACACATTACCATATTAGGAGAGCCGGTGAGGGGGAGTCCCTTTAAACTCAGCATCAAGGCTCCGCTCAAGTTAAGGTTTCTCGTCAAATCGGTTGTACCCTCGTTTTATAAACCAGGAGGTGTGGCTATTGGTCCCAATGGCGAGCTTGCACTAATAGACACAGAAGGATGGAAAACCATTTATCTATATAATAATCAGTTAGAACCTATACTGACTATTGGTGATTGGGGCAGTGGCCCTGGTCAGTGCTATAGACCGATTGGTGTAGCTTTTGATTCTTCAGGTAATCTCCTGGTTGTAGATGGGGACAATCACAGGATTAATAAATACGACCGTACAGGTACTTTCATAATGTCCGTGGGACAGAAAGGTAACAAAGAGTTGGAGTTCCTGCGTCCAACTGGTATAGGTGTCAATAAAGCTGGTTACGTGTATGTTTGCGATCGTGCTAATCACCGAATTCAAATCTTAAAACCTAATCTCACATTTGACTCAATGTTTGGAGGCTATGGAGAGGAGACTGGGTATTTGCACTACCCGTGGGACGTCGCCTTTGACTCTGAGGGTATGGTCTATGCAACAGTCCCTGGCCAATATTCTATAAAGAAGTTTTCTCCAAACGGAGTTTATCACTCGACAGTTGTTGATAAGAATACTCAGGGATTTAAAGAAGGAGAACCCAAATGTCTCGAGATGTTATTTATTGATGAATGGGATTACATGTACGTGACTGATCGCGAGTGTCACTGTGTCTTTGTATTTGATACAGGTGGTAGGTTTCATGCTCGTGTTGGTAACTACGGGTCAGCTGAGGGTCAGTTTTATTACCCAAGAGGCGTGGCTAAAGGAGAAGAAGGCCTGTACGTTAGTGAAGCTGGAAATAAAAGGTTACAATTGTTTGGATAAAATGGAGAAAAGAGGGAGAGACATTTTGAACTAAAAAAGAATTACTAAAAACCACTCAATCTTGATTATAGTGTATATGATTATTATATTGTTGTTTTTATTAAATTTTTTGTTCAAAAATTAGCAGAAGTGCTGAACAGATTCACATAAGCAGCTGCCAATGTATGAATCATCTTATACTGTCCCTGGAAAAGATAGAGAAAATAAACCAATTATCAAGAAGAATCACGCTACTTTATTCTGAACAGCTCCAGGTAAATTAACTCTCATATTCTTCAAATATTAATCAAATTTTGATATGTACATGCATTGTGTACATGTAATTGTGTGGACTAGACGTGTACTCTACCTTTGCCAGTTTTTTTCCTTGTTGTCATTGGCAGTAATATCTCCCTTCCACTGCCTTCCATCTGGCACCTTTTGATAAATAATAATAATAATAATGATGATGATGATGATGATGATGTTGATAAACTCTACCTTTTTCTCCAAACTACAGTAATAATAATTAAAATTATTCTTCTTATTATTATTATTATTATTGCTAGACCAACTCCAACTCCGATCCATAAATATAGAGGAATGCTGGTATTGCAATTACCATGACTGCAATTACCATGACCGCAATTACCATGACAACCTAAAAACAAAGCAGAGAAAAAATTACAGGAGAGAGAAGGGAGGAAATTAAGATCATCAGGATTAAAGTTTATAAATACCATTTAAGTTTGTAAAATTTCCATTTATTAAAGTGTTGTTAGTATATACTCCAGCTGCTATTGAGATTGAGTACTTATATTTATCGCCAATTGTAACACTATGACTCCAATGTCTCGTAGTATCATTATTAATTAATATTACATTACCGAACTCCTCGTTAATAGCATAATTAATTATAATATTAGTTATTATAGTTGAGACAGGTCTGTACCAAGTAACTGTGACTTCATTCAGTGTCCAACTAATATTCATTGTTCTGATTGACTCTATCAATCAATATTTATAAGAAATAATAAATAACTAGATATTCTCACTTACCAATACTTCTTGTTCTCATCATTATTGTACTCAGTTGGCCAATTCCTCCTTCATTAACAGCTGCAACACTGAAGGTGTATTCCGTATTTGGCAATAGTTCATTAATATTGATTATCTTATTTCTTGTTGATAAATTTCTCACTGATGATGAACTAGTAGATATCAATACCGTATAATTATTGATAATTCCATTGGTAGAATGTGGTTCATTCCATGACAGCTGTGCTATTATGAGTCCAACAAAGGCGGTCAAATTAAGCACTCTACCAGGTGCTAAAATTAAAAATAAATATAATTAATATTTTGCACATTAAAACTTACGGCACTGAGGACTTTTAACATGTACTTCTTGACTATAGGGTCCAGTGTTGTTTCCAACATTGACTTGTGATACTCTGACACAATAATCAGCGAAGGGTCTGGGAAAGGATATGTTTAGTACTGGTTCCAGTGATGTATTTTCTTGATCATAAGACCCCTTGGAACAATCTTCACTTTCAACCCATTGAACTGAATAATGAGAGAAAGGGCTGATCCACTCTGAACAGTGGAGTGCCAGGAGTGGCTGCCATGATAAAATTGTGAGATTACAATGAACATTAGTAGCATTTAATGATAATGGAGCTCTAGAAGGAGCTAGAAATAAATATAAATAAATAAATGAATAAACAAATAAATAAACAAATAAGCAAATACCTGTACATTGTAAATAAATTTATTGTTTCTAGCTTACCTCTTGCTTCTGAGGGTATAACTGAAATGTTAACACAATAATATGAACTGTTAGTGACATCATCCCAAGAAGAATATAATGATATTTTAAAGCAATACTCCAAACCAGCCTGCAATGAGCACACTTCATTGCTGTAGTGCAATAAACTGCTGCTGTTTTGGTGGATTTTGATGTTCTCTTGCTGCTCAGTGGCACTGCAGTTATTATAATAATGATGAATTAATGCATGATTTATTAAAGTTGGGACTGGCTGATGGAGTGACCAGTTAATAAGAAGACATGTTGAATTAGTTGAAGATATTGTATCAATAACAACTGAAGATGGGGCCCCTGAGAGAGGGAGGAAAAAAAGAGAGAGGGGGGGGGGAAATTAACAAGAAAGAAAGAAGCCTATA